AACAAACAAAATTTAATGTCATATAATCTTTTAAAATAAAATAAAAAAATTATGTAATTTAGAATGATATCATAGATGCGACTATATATAAATTTTAACAAAATAATATGGCTATTATTTAAACAGAATAATATATTTATTTATTAAATTAACATTATACTAAAATGCTAGATGTTAAAGACAATTCTAAACACAACATGAAAATATAAATTATCTTAAATAAACATTATTTATATGGTATAGCAAAATAAATTCTAAAATGTATTGTATGCAAACTGTAGATTTTTAAAAAAATAAAATAATATATATATATATATATATATATTAAAAGAGATTTTCTAATTTATTATTTCAGATTATAAGTTTATTGTATTGTACTCAAAAATATATAAGTACGTATAAAATGGATAAAACAAATCATTATCTATTTACAATGTTGAGTAACAAAGTAAAAAGTATTAAAAGATTATCATATATTAATAATATTGAATAAAAACCTAAAAACTAAAATTATAAATTTACGCAATATATGACACAAAAATGTAAATCATATATTTAAAATGTTTAAAATAATATCAAATGTATATTTCTAAAATAAAGAGTATATCCGCACAAATGTGTGGGTCAAATTATAGTTTAAATTAGAAAAAAAAGAAGTATAGTTTTTATTGCTAGAGAGGTAGTCTTTTGAAATTTATCTATTAATAATAACAATATCAATTAATGTGAAAAATTGTGTTGTTTCTTCTTAAAAGTTGTATTTGTTTAAAGTAATTTCAGTTTTTATAATGGAAAGACACAACCTTTCACATGTATTATATGTGTCTTTCCATTTTTATTTGTTCATACTCATTCATTAATACTTCACAAGAATATTTTTAATTGTTTTAAATCTAAATCAATGTCCTAATGTGAAAAGTTGTATTTCTTAATTTGTTTACATAAAAAGTTCCATTTATTAATTTTTTAGATGAAAATATGTGTTTTTTTGTTTATAATTTGGTCATATCCATTTATTATCATTTCACATAAATATCTAAAATTTTTACATTTAAAAGTTAGTGTATTAATGTGAAAAACTATACCTCTCTATTTGTTTCCTGAAAAATATAATTATTAGTTTTTGATCTATTAATAATAACAATCTCAATTAATCTGAAATTTTGTGATTTTAAAACCTATAATGACCTAAATAAAATAATTGAAATGAAATGTTAAAACTAATAAAATCATAAAATACCACAAAGAGAGATCTTATTCAAAAATAATACTCTATCCATTTCATTTTAATTGTTGCTTTAAGTTTCTGTATACAGATTAAGAAAACATTAAACTTTGCATATTTTCAAAATAAAAACACATTACCTATAAACCTAACCATATTTTAACCAATAAAAATAGAATATCATATAAAGTTAATAGATTTTATCTTGAAATCATAAAACGACACTTTATTTAAAAAGAAAATTTTACACTACAATGTCAATTAAATTGAAATGGAAGAAGTATATACCATAACAAGATTAAATAAGTTTATTATCCACATTCAAAGCATTTGTGGTTTTGAGAGGAATAAAACAATCAAATCAATTTTTTTTTCATTAAACTGAAGAAATATAGATAATTTTCTACAACTATAAACTACTTAACCATCAAAAGTGAAAGTAGGAGAAAATTATTTATTTTTGTATATAAGAAAAACTAGAAATATCCCGAAAAGGTATATAATATCCAATGGAAATTGTGAACAAAGATATAACAAATTTAAAAACATTTTTGACAATTGCACCGCGCAAAAGAGCAGATCTCTACCTAGTTTAGAAATAAGATAGTTGAATATCTCATTTGTACCAGGAAATAGGGATAGTGATTAGTTAGTTTTTATTTTTTCTGAAAAGCATAAACCACATATCAAAATTTTATTGGGTAGATATACCTCATAATTTAGTATATAAATGGTTAAAACCATGTTGGTTACGAAATCACTGCAGTAGCGCGCCTGTGGCAAGAAAAAATAACTTTAATGGAGAACAAAGTAGCTAGGGTAGAGACATAAATAGTCGCTGGAAGTAATCGCTGGTGTTCTCCGTATCATGGACGCTATTATTTTCAGTGAAAACCTTTGTTTGTAACAGATCTGCTGTTTTTTTATTAAGTGACATCCGAATGGTGACCGTAAAGATATAAATTTAACTATTAAACTATTTTAAAATAAAATACATTATAAAATAACGTGAACAATTTTTTAAGAATTTGGTTTTTAAGACATGTCGAAAACCAACAAAAAGATGCAGAAACAGAAAATTGTTTAATTCAGTCACCAATCTCTTGTATACTAAAGCACAAGTCACTCTACCAATCATATTATGACATGTGGAATATATAAAAAAAATAAAAACTAATTAAAATAAATCTAGAAATTAGACAAATATAAGCAATATAAAATAAAAATGATCAAAACCAAAAAGAATTCGAACGATTAGTTGCAAAAACTTAAATCCCTACAATTTCTCAAGTCACTCCACCACGTTCAGACGTGAGTTGTATCCTTTCAAATCATGGCAACTAATTTGTTTCTTTTATTTGCTCTCCCTTTCTCTCTCTTTCTCTTATAGCTAGTTTCATCTTCTTCGTCATTTTTTTGTTTTGTTTTGAGTGTAACAACAATACAGGTTCTCTTCTTCTAAACTTGATACTCTCTTTTTTTCTTTTTGCATGATTCACGTTGAAAATATCAACTTTTTCTTCAACCAAAAAAAAAACTGAGGTAATAACAATAAATATATAGAATTCTGTTATATAATGAGGTAGTTTATTTTTTTTCTTTTTTTTGGCGAACAAAAGAGGATTATTTTAAGTAAAAAAAAAGAGGATTATTTATTTATAAATCTGTTTTCTTCTATGGCTTACGTTTAGGATGAAGGGGAAAAATCAACATGTAAAAATGAAAAAGTCAAGTTATGAGTTGTTCTTCCATCATCTCTTTTTCTGTTTTATAGTGTAAACATTCAAGTGAGTCCTTCTAAATAAATGTAATTGGTTTATCTGATTTGCAGGATTATTTGCAGATGAAGATACTAACAAGAAAAAGTTAAATATATAATTCTTTAAGTGGGATAAGAGTGTGCACAAAAAAAAACGGGATAAGAGTTAAAAAAGGATGAATATAAGAATCTAAAAAGTAATGCATAAAACTGTATAACCAGTTAGGTTTTTCTGTGTAAACTATTTAGATTAATCTTTTAGTTAATGTAGTTTTCGGTAAATTTTGTAAATTGTGTACAATTCAATAAATACGTATAGTTTTGTTGTTTCAAGTAGTTGACAAAAAATTGTTGTTTTCAAGGCAAAATTATTTTATTTTGGTCAATATAGTTCCTAAACATGATGATTAACTATACATGATTTAGCAGATTAAAAGTTTTGATTATGCATATAAGTATAATTGATTTTTTGCTTTAACAATAAGTACTTGATTTTGTTTTGCAATATACATTTTTAAAATTAGTCAACCCGTGCAATACCGCGGGAAAATATCTAGTTGTTTAATATAATCATCACACACTATTAAAAGGGCTTAATAAAGCCTTCTCACAATGTCGACATCGACATTTATATTTAGCCAATTATAGAGCTCCAATTATCCACATCGGATTCGGTTTACACATTGGAAACTAGGTTTGGTTTTCGGTTCGAATTTCTAATCTGATTTTTGGTTACTTCTGATTTGGTAAATGGTTAATTGTGCGGAGAATTCTAGAAATCAGTTCTGCTCATACCTTTCGACTTCCAGAGCTTCGTTCTCTTCTCTTCCGTTTTGGTGATTGATTATTGGTTTGACTTCCGTTCTCTTTGTTCACACCTGTTCCCAAGGACCCTTCAGATGATCTTTTTGAATGGCTTTTTGAATCCGACAGTGTGTTGAAGGCTTTGAAAGAGGTATTAATTGGTTTCAGTTTATTTGGAGAGTAGAGAGTAGAGAGATTAAATGGCACGGCGAGCAAGCAAGAGAGGTTTTCTGGTGGCCGTTTACTCAGCATAAACTTGTAGCTGAAGAGGCTGTGACGGTTATAGACTCCCGATGTGGTGAAAAATTTTCGATATACAAGGTTTGTAGCAGAAGATCTTTCATTTATGTAGTTACTAAAGTTTCAGTTATCTGCTTCTAGAATTTACAGCAAGTAATGAGACTTGTGAGTTATATCATTTCCAGGCTGCCAATAATAGTTCTATCACCCAGCAATTTGACGCTTGTGGAATCTGATGGACACAGGGGCCAGATCCTGCTTTCCACGTCATCTGTGCCACTATTTTCTAAGTTTTATGATAACTATCAGTCCCTATCGTCTTAATCTTAATGCTTATCTTTCTTTCTGATGAATCTTCTGAAGTTTATTTTGAACTTTTATTTAGGCTTTTTCAGGCTACGCTTGCTAGAGAGATGGGTTTAATGTGAGTCTTATTTGATTGAGTGATGGAATCATTCAGCGGCTTAGAGAGTAATAAGATATGTATCTTTTAAATTGACATCACATTCAATGTTTGTTCCTGTTCACATTTTGACTGTAGTCTCAAGATTGATACATTTTTTTGGTAGATTTCAGATATTGTTTCTTTGTTTCTTTGTTTCAGAGAAAGTTTTTGTTTAGCATCGCTTTAGTTTCTTGAGTGCAAAGAAGAACTGAGATAGTGAGTGGTTTTAGCTTTTGGAAGATCCATTATCTCATCTACAAAATTGTTTGTTTATTATTGGATACAGAGGATCTTCTGTTATTTCCTTAATCTGTGTACCTTTTTATTTTAAAAGTATTGTTTATGTCTCTAATTAAGGTTTTTTTTTTCTATTTGTTGTGGGAACATAGCTTCGCCTGACTCCAACAAGAGGTTCATGTATGATGTTGGAGCTTATAATAGTGATGATGATAAAGCTGACCAAAACGTAAAATCTTTTTTTTTTTTTTGCTAAAAGATAGTACAATGCTTTTTGACATGTCTTCCTTATGAACTATGGGGTGATGAATCTTGAGGAAGCATATGCTCATGATGGAAGCAAGACAAGACAGTTGGACTCTTTTGTCTCAGCAAGACAAGACAGTTACAGTGCCCGGTCAGTGACACACACACCACTATACCTAAAGTAACTATTTATCAAGTCTTCTTACATGGATGCTTATATGTCTAATAAAACAGGAAACCTGGAGTGGGACCTTCTGTGTGTAGCAAAGCACACGACGTCGAGTCTCCTTTTTACAAGCCACTTCAGATGTGTCTTTGTGGAACACGTAGCCGGAGGTGGATTCCCATTGTAGGCAGGACAAGATGGCCTAGCCGGTCTAACATGAACAAGACTGAACTTTCACTATATGGTTAGTCTCCTTCGTTCACAATTACCTTCTGAATCCATCATTTGTTGATCCCTGGGTTGGTTGGTTTGGTTTGGTTCAGGTCTTCACTAGGAGGAGGTTGGAGAAGATGCAGCGAATTGGACACTAGACGTAAGAGACTACTGGTCTCTCTTGCCTCCTCTGATATTCTCTGATCACCCCAAAGAGACCCGGCGATGAAGACCCTTCACCTCCTTATAACATGCTCGGAAACGTTTTGGACATGAATGCTCAGTTCGGTTGGCTCAACTCCGCGTTGTTGGAAGCTAAGAAATCGGTTTGGCTCATGAATGTTGTCCCTACAGCTGGACCAAACCACCTCCCAATGATTCTTGACCGTGGCTTTATCAGAGTTTTACACGACTGGTGAGTCACAAACATAAAGGTGTAATCATTCTCCAGATAATCTTAAGACAATACACCAAGTTAACTTCTTTCAGCTTCCTAATACCCAAGCCACCCTCTTCCTTCAGCTTACACACATCTTTCCAGGCAACTTTAGGTCCTGATCTTCGATCTTCAGGTGCTAAAGTTGCTTGGAAAGATGTGTGTAAGCTGAAGGAAGAGGGTGGCTTGGGTATTAGGAAGCTGAAAGAAGTTAACTTGGTGTACTGTCTTAAGATTATCTGGAGAATGATTACAAGGGAATCGCTTTGGGGTAGATGGATTAAGGGAAACCTTCTTAAAGGCAAGAGTTTTTGGCAAGTAAAGACTATAACTCAGTCTGGCTCGTGGATGTGGAGAAAATTGCTCAAGATTAGAGATATTGCCAAGACGTTTTATAGAAAAGAAGTGGGGAATGGTAGACACATTTCGTTTTGGTATGATTATTGGTCTGAGAAAGGAGTTTTGATTGATATGTTGGGTGATAGAGGCATCATTGATATGGGTATTGGTAGAGATGCCACTTTGGAGGATGTGCTTTCTATTCAGAGACGGCGTAGGAGGCATCGTATGGAGGATTTAAATTCAACAAGTTAAGAGTATTGCGCGAAGTGATGTGAATGACATGTCGTGGTGGAGAAGAAAGGCTGGGTATAAAGCTCTTTTCTCTACTAGTGAAACTTGGATGCTAACTCGTGAAGCTAGTTCAGCTTGTGATTGGGCAAAAGGAGTTTGGTTTTCTCAAGCCACTCCAAAGTTTGCGTTTATAAGCTGGCTTGTCTGTTGGATAGACTATTCACGTTGGATAGAATCTCGAAATGGAGTACTGGAGTGGATACTACTTGTGTTTTGTGCAAGGGTGCTGTTGAAACAAGAAACCACTTGTTCTATCGATGTTCTTACACAAGTGAGATTTGGGAGCACCTTGTGAAAGGGATCCTGCATAATGCTTACACGAACGACTGGGATGAGCTTGTGAGGTTGGTCACTGCGGGTGCTGGGCTTCATCACAATGGTCTGTTCTGTGTTAGGTATGCTATGCAGGCGAGTATCTATGCCATTTGGAGGGAGAGAAACAGAATCAGACATGGAGAGAAGTCAATGCCTTCAATCAGAATGTTGAAGCTCATTAATAAAGAAGTTAGAAATAAACTTAGTTTGCTAAAGGCTAAAGGAGTTAAGAGTAGAGAGAAAATTTTACAGGTTTAGTTTGCTACAAGATTGTAATTAGCTTAGGCTAAAAAACAATGTTGTAAAAAGGTTTTTTTGATGAATACAATTTAACATTCAAAAAGAAAAAAAAAAAAAAAAAAAAGGTGTCTCATTACTATACAGAATAGTTTTTCAACATTGTCTTTGTAATAACTTCAGATGTGAAGCATTCCCGAGTTACCCGAGAACATATGATCTGGTCCACGCAGACAATCTTTTGACTCTTCAGGAAAGTCAGCACAGAAGTTCATGTTCACGTATGCAAATATTGACAGAGATTGATAGATTACTTCGTCCAGAGGTACACACACACATTGTCTTTGACTCTGAAAGAAAACTATTATTATATGTTCTTGGGGATATACAATAAAGCAAAACTCTGGTGCAGGGATGGGTGATAATCCGTGACACGGCGCAGCTGGTGGAAGCGGCTAGAGCTTTGACAACGCAGTTGAAGTGGGAAGCTAGAGTCATAGAGGCTGAAAGCAGCAGTGAACAGAGACTTCTCATTTGCCAAAAAACCAGTTGCCAAGAGACAATCAATCTGAACAAGAAGAAGAACATAGACACAGGTTTTCTCCACTTTTTAAAATTTATTTTTGTTCCAAGTCTCACATCATTGAACTGTGGTGGCTATATGGGAAGAAGAAAGGAGTAAGAAGATGATATATATATATAATCTGGTTTCTTTATCTGGTTTCATGAGTTCCCATTTTATAGAATCTTAGATTTATTTATTTTTATTTTGTGGTATTTCATAATTTTTTTTTTTTAATTTTCATTGAATTTTTATCAAAGAACATAACTTACACCAGAGTCCTTTGTTTTCGCAATTTCACAGTAGCTTGATCAGTTGGTGGATGCAAGCGAGGAGGAAAAGAGATTCATATGGCTTTGGAATACATTCAAAAGAAGGCAAAGGTAGCAGTATGATTCTATTTGCATCTTATGTTTCAAGAAATATTTGAGATGACATCACTAAAATCACTTTTATTATTCCTTGATTACTTTTGGGCAGTGAGTTCACGGATGAACATGTTCCTTTGGCATGTGAAGAGTTTGTAAAGCTTCATGCGAAAGAGCTGATCAATCCTCAAATGATCTGGTAAATCTTCCATCCACTCATCATATGATGCCAACATGGAGCATAATATCACATTTTTCTGTTTTGATTTACTTTACTTTTGGTGATAACTGAGCAGGCAGTGGACATCGTTTATGATCACACTGTGGAACTACGGTCTGATATGTGCCAAAGACCATGGATAAATACGGTATCATCCTCCAGAACGCACGTGGAGAAGAAGAAGAAGCAGCAGCAGCAGTGGCGGCAAAAGAAAGACAGTCAGCGGAAGCAGCTGAAGCAGCAGCAGCCAACTCTAAAGCTAATGCTAATGGCAACGAGCAACAACCTATGGAACTCGATGAAGAATAACAGTAGACATGGTGATAGTGTTATAGGGCTATTACCGGTTCTCTTATACCGATGGTTTACTTATGTGTTTGGTTTATTGGATTAACAAACAGTTACTTATGTGTTAGCTATTGTTCATTGACGAGAATCAATCAACAAAATCAATTATATACTTCTATCTCTCCCTATCTCTGATCGTCACCTCATCTCCAAGGATTTCAGGTTGCTGAGATGATCTTTCTCTCCCTCTTGATCATTTTTATCTGATTTTCCTTTCTTTCTATCATACTGTTAGAGATTAACGCGATTTTTTTCCTTCTAAATGTAATGATCATATTTTGCATATTGGTTTAGGTCCACTTATTGATTTAGGAATTGAAAATGAAGTCTTAACTTTGTAACAAAAATATATACAATTTTAACCATAATTTTGTTGGAATTAAAAGACAAATTGTAAACCAAACCACATGCACTAAACCTCATTTGGTGAGCTTTGCAGCAAAAAATGATAGAAACGGCAACCAAATGACAAAATCAGATCAAATTCGTTTGTAATCTCATAGCAATTAAGACTGGAAAGCGGATAATGGCTGTCATAAGGTGCAGACATATAGAAAGTGTTACATAAACAATTTACATTTTTTTGGTTCATAACTCTGTCTCAGCAATGGAGATTCAACTACTCTGATTTTAAAGAATAAGATTATATTTCTTAATTTTATATTTAATTTAATACTTTTCCAGTTTCACTTATAAACTAAATATGTTCATTCATTATTTATCTACACGTGTACATATGCATATACATTTTCAATAGTTCAAAAATTAGTTATGGTGATCTTACCAGTATGTGAAATTATTCTACGTAGAATTTGTGGGAATCCATTCATGAGACTCCATTATTATTTATGATTTCATTCTAAAATTCTTACATATTATAATTAATTTCCGACTCCCTATAATATATTCATTAATAAATATTTTTTTTTAAACTATTAAATATTTTTTTTTTCAATTATATAAGATTAAGAATTTTAATTGATTAATATTTAATTATGTGTGTTCTATTTTTAAATTTAATTTTTAATTAAAAATAGTTTTCAGGTAACAACACAATATCTAGAGGAATTATATTTTTAAAATGAATATATATTTTAGATTTTGGAAAATTATTATTGTTATTAATTTTAATAACTTATCTAATAAAATAAAATTGAAATTCATTTTCAATTTTTGGCTAATTTATATAGATATTTATCACAGGTATAATCGATTTTAACCGCTCTAACTTTTAACGTGAGCGATCAAAGCGAAAAATCACTTTGCAAATTTACTAATAAAAAGAACTATAATAATATATTATTATCTATGTTTTTCCATTTCAAATTCTTACGTATTATAATTTTTTTTGAAAATCTCTTTGTACAATATATTCATTATTAATAAAAATCTTAAAAAAGAATTCAGTATTCTCTTTTCAATTATATAAAATTAAGAATTTCAGGTGATTAATATTTAGTGATGTGTTTTCTTTTTTTTTGAATTTTTAATTGCTTATTAAAATATATTTTTCATATCATAAAATTATCACTAAATTATGTGAAAATGATATATATATATATATAAGAATAATCTTTTGATATCATAAAACTATCACTAAATTATGTGAAAATTAAAACAAAGTTACAGTTTTGTGAAAATAATGTTTATATGGTATAAAGTAAAAAAAAAACTAAGTTAGTTATACTCTAAAATTACAGAAAAGAAAGAAAATAGAAATTATAAAACTAATGAAAATTATTACAAAAATAAATACAATCAAACAAGACCATTTACGTAGTAAATATATATTAAATTAAAATACATAAACTGCGCGTAGCGTGGTGAATAAATCTAGTTTTGTTAATGAATGAAAACAAGAAAAGAAGACACACGTGTTATTTATATATATATTCGGTAACATACTACCCCTTATTATGCCACAAACCTCACCAAACTTATTAATATTGTTATTATTTTAATTGATAGGGTTTAGTCACATTATAAATATTATTTGGGTTTCAGTGGAGCTATAGCATCAGCATTAGGGATAGGACGACACGGAGAATCAGAACTAACGAAATAAGAGCATATGCATCGGTATTTTCCTTTGTATCTTCCACTATTATGAAAAACGCATTTACTATCCATCATTTTCCTCGAAACAGTCGTCACTGCATCCCGATTTACTGCAATTTCCAATTTTTTTTATTGGTTCAAGACAAATTTGCCGTGCTGCAGCAGGTACAACCGGCATTACTCCTGTTATTATAGTAAATAAAACATAACATTAGTTTTGTATTTTTTTTTTTTATAATCCAGTATCCGACCACTAAGCGTGATCGACTAGTCCACCGGGCCTAAGCCCATGCCATGACAGGATTTTTAAGCGTCCACTTAAGGGCCCCTGGTTACGCTAAGTGGTCTGGAGCGCCACACCAACTCCGCAGGTAAATTATGTGGTGGCCGGGGTTCGAAGTCGGATGGCGGGCACCTCAGCCGAGGTTCCTTTACCACCAGGCTACGAAGCCCGGTTTGTATTTAAAATAGAAATTTAACATTTTGTAAAATATATGTTTGCCGTTTTTTTTTTTTTTTTGCATATTTACAGAAAAACTGAAAGCCTAAACATATTCTTTTTAGTTATTGATTATTCTTGGAAACTTACTAAACTCAATATACGGAATCAGACATACAATTTATATAAGTAAATATAATACTACAGTATCGGAATAACTTTATTTTAGAATGTTCATATTATATACTAATAAAATTGTAAATGTAAATACAAACCGAGTAGAAGAGCTGTGAGCATAACAAAACCAACAAGCGAAGATCGAAAACTAAGTTTCATCTTAAATAATAAGCTAATGGTGTTTTTCTTTTTTTTTGTCAACTAATGGTGTTTTAAAAAGTAGAAAGGCAAAGAAATATATTTATAGATGAAGTGCAAAACATATCTAATTTAAGGTATGTATCTTTCAAAAATTCCGATACAAAAGGATCTAATTATCAAGAGTCGCTTTGACCTAGAAACATTTCTAATTTAAGGTAGTGAATGAAACATAAGAAGTTTTTGTATCTGAGAAACCCAAAAATTATATTTTGATGATGTGACTATATTAACAAATGCATCAATATTATTGGCTGGAATAAATTTGCATACATTTACAATGGAAATAAAAATCAAGGATAATATATCGACTTAGAAATAATTTATATCTTCAATTTCTGATATTAATACAAAACTGTAGAATGTTTCTACTGGAAATAAAAATATGAAAATAATGTTTATGGCTCATAATTTTGGACTGAATATATATTCAAAATTTAATTACACCATTAAACATATGCATTAGTAAATAATATTGTAAATAGAATATAAAAATACAAATATTAGGTTAGAAAGTATATTTTTATTTTTAATAACAATGTAATAACCTGATTGGTATTTTCGGAAAGATAGTTACTGTAAAAAAAAAAATTAAAAAATAACATTAAATAAGTTGTGCATATCTATTGAGAATTTATTGATTATATTTTTACACTGAGTTTTAATGCAAAATTATATATTCTGATAAAATTCAGCACCTTGTTGGTATATAGGGGTAACACAAACTAAAGCGTAGTGGTTTATACATCTTGTTGAACTAATAATCACAGTTTTTCTTCGAAATTCATTGATCTGTTGAAACGTTACGGTCTCTAAAGCGTTTGTGGGCTAGATATATCTAAATGTGATTCATGTTGTTTATATCCCATCAAAATCATTTAGTCCTCTATTGATTTCACAACTGTCCACCATGTTAATTTTATTTCGTTTTACTTGACGTTTACATCATAAAGTAATACAAAGTGACTTTTTGTACCCATTTAATTTGATATGTCATAATAATAATATAGAGTAAACTAATTAAATACAAAAGGAATATAGAATAGGTATTATTTTTGTCTCCTAAATATGTGTGAAAATTTCTAAAACCTCATCTACTTTATTAAAATAGAATCCTAATTTTTATCTACTTTATACAAGTCTTAGTAGAACCATTTGATTAATTAATTAATATGACATTTTTATTATTACACTAATCAATTAAATATATAACAAAACATGATGAAGAGAAATATATTTAAATTTTATTCTTAGTTATAACAATTTCTGTTGGGAAAATCTAACAAAATCGTACAAAAATTTTTATTTTTAT